AAGCAGTGGTATCAACGCAGAGTACTAGTCTATAAAAATCGCCGAGTTACGAGCCTATGAAAACACGTAAAAGATCGCATATTTCGTCGAAATTCCACCGTGAGTGCTTGTATGACACTCGCATTGCGAATATTGTGTTCGCTTCGCCCAAAGACTCCCGCTGTATTGTATATGGTAATTGCGTATGCTTCAGCTGCTTAGTTGAATATCAAAGCTATTTCGGTGGCTAGAACTCAAACTACGAAATCTAACACAAAAAGATCCATTAAGGACGTGAAAAGATTTTGATCAGCGTTTTGTACAAGCGCTCACGGTGGAATTTCGTCGAGATTTGCGGTCTTTACATTTTGGACAAAATTCATGAGGACGTTTTCATAGGCTCGTAACTCGGCGAATTTTATAGACTGGAGCCTGAGTCATGCACCGTTTGGTAGCACAGTTCCTAATAACTTTGACTGAGAAAAGCAAGCAGGCAAGGTTGCTGACAGATACGCTAGAAGTGCGGGCAAATTTACGCACTTTCGTGATGCAGTTACAGTCATCTCACCGTATCTCACCAAAAAAGACCACGTAATCCTCAAAGACCACGATTTTCGTAAAGTTGTTCGAAAACCTCTATAAGCGAGGTTTCCTTACAATTTAAGCGCATGAACATTTTGACCAAAATCCATCGGCCAACTTCAGAGCGTAAAACGAGAAAAAATGAAATTACTTGAACATCTTGGAAAACTTGCTCATAAGGGTTATCCGACCTGCTGATTACGAAAATCACATCTGCTCAGCAAGATAGCTTCATATTTTAGAGTTACGTTGAGAAAAATTTAGAACGACATGATTTTTCCAGAATTCACCAGCCCTTCCCACTCCTTTAGAAAGAAGTGTGCGGCTAGTTTCTAGCGCCCCATAATCTACGGAAGAAGTACTATCGAAAATTTCTCCCTGTTTCTACTGGGGGCAATACGCGCTGCTTCACACCTTTGCGAAGAGACGCCCGCAGAAAGTTTTGAGAATACTGAAATCGAGATATCAAGGACATTCTGCGTACCGAAAGATTTACCTTGATGAGCTGAGCACAGTGCATTTTTCGGATTCAGAAAATATCCACTCCAAAGAAAGTTACGGCGAGTAGAATCTGGAAACGAGCGATTTTTCCAGAATTTACCAACGCTTTTTTCTCTTTTGAAAAAAAGTCTGCGGCAACTTTCTGGCGCGCTATAATATACAAGAAGAGCACTATCGAATGGTGCTTACTGGAGACTTTCATGTTGGATAGGCGCTGCGTTACATACTTGCAAAGGAACCTCCTCAGAAAAATTTAAGAAAACTGGAAACAAGATATAGACGACATGACGTATGTAGAAAGATTCGCCTTGACGAGCTGAACAAATGCTGCTTTCGGATTTAGAATATATTCATTCCGAAGGAAGTTATGGCGCTGCAAAATTTGCGATATTCCGGAATCGCGAAATTTTTGGAATTTCGCGAAATTCCCGTTCTGTGAGTGGTATTGTACATTGCACAGCACGCGCGTCATTCCGCGATATGTGCTTCTCATGCGACTTCCAACCATTTTCCTTTGTCTTCCTGCATTTTGGGACCCGTCATACTTCGCCGAGAAAAGCCCAGTTTCACACACATCCATGCAGAATGAACTCTTAAACTATACCTGCCCTATTTCTGCAGTGTTCAACACAATGTGTATGTAGCCTCTGGAATCGGCACACTGAAAGATCCATTTACTTTAAAATTCCAATAAAAAAACTCATATCCCACAACTAGGCACATCTGTATACTGGAAGACGTGCCTCGCCGAGCTTAGTTGAATGGTACTCTTATATATAGAATTCATAAATTTTGAATCAAGATAAGGTCTTTTTTAATAAAAAGTTAGGCGTTGCGCGACAAAGTTAGGCGACAAATACCGCTTTTCCACCGACTTTTGTCGCGCGACGCGGCGTTTGTCACCTAACTGCGGCGGGGCCGCGTAAATTAAGTGCCGCCGCCATTTTTTTTTCACAAATTACGGGTGGTATTGTATAGGGAGAACCAGTTTTTTGCAGTTTTCTAGTAGACTGACAACGGCTCAACGTGTTCTACCATAGGATGTGTTGGCCGTAGCCGATTCGTTGACCGCACGGCTGGACATCATGCGGAGCATGCGCGGTTCATTAGGATCAATTTAAGCAGACACAGCAACACATAAATATATCAAGGTGCGCCGCAGCCACATAGGTCGCCACAGCCTTGGCTGTTAGAAGTGAGCGAATTTCGATCTACGTTAAGGGCCGGGCATACTTCACGCGATTTCAGTCGCGACGCGACTTGGCAATATTCCAACTGTCCATAACTCACTGTAAGCACATTTTAAATGTACAGAGGATAGGGCATTTTATCAATCCACGTAAGTTATACACACTATGCATGTGCGGAATGCTAGTGTTGGATATGAAGACTTCTGGCGAATTGCCAAATCGCGTCGCGACTGAAGTCGCGTGAAGTATGCCCGGCCCTTTAAACAGCTCTACAACACTTCCAAAAGGAATGTGTGAGTCTCTGCGGAACAGAGGTGATGGTTCGCTAAGGAAGGAGTCCTTCTCTTATCCCCGAATTCTTTGGCTTAGTTGTAATGTTAGACTGATTTGAGCGCTTTCTGTGCAGCTTTGCAATGCTTAAATGTTCAATTCATTGAGTCCAGAGGGAAATTAAGGAACCAGACAGACCTTTACTATGACATTTGCTCCAAATTCTTTACAGCGACTGATTGCTCTGAGCGTTACATAGCGCGGTAGTACACATGTTATTGGAACCTTAAGCATATTTCCATGATATGCCATAGCGCGTGCATAATTTCCATGCGAGCCGACGACAACCTGAAGTTAGGTGCTGATGCTGTTCGGATTTGAGAAATTTAGAATTACAAATATCAAGTAATCACCCCTTTCTCTCTGTCTTCAACTGATAGACATAGCAAGGCGTTGCGAGCTCCACGCTCCTTGAAACTGCCAGTCCGCTGCAACATTCAATTCTAGATTTCTCAAGATCTGCTGTAAAGCGAGAGAGTATCATCACTCATTTCTAATTTTACTCATTACAGTTCAATTCAAGCATTCAAACAATGAGCTTTTAATGAACACTAATCGTGAGATACTGGGACAGGCTTTGGCACATAAATTCGACGCATGCTAGAACGTTATTAGCATGAATATATACTGATCTCGTCGATGAAAGCTGTTCATCTAAAGTAATCATGATTGCTGATAGTCGTCGCACATCCGTTTTCATATTGCTCCAGCTTGACAGGAAAATTGAAACATATGTGTTTCCCTTAAGTTTTGTTGTGTTACAGTGGAGCAAAGCAACAGATTGGGTTTGCTAAGATTGTTTGCCGAACAACTTTTATATAAATATTCCTTTAAGTACTATTGCCTTCCTCAGAGACTCGAAGTTGAGTCATAAATGAAAGCTTGTAGATCACATTCGTACTCGAACGGCAAGTTAGTGAAGAAAATGCTTTTTTGACTTTTTTTCGATTTTGTTAGCGACTTCAAATTGTCAGGTGACGGTTCCATATATTCAACTTTCAACGTTTGACTACAACACTGTTCAACATTCAACACGCTTTTGCGGCTGAAGCCGCGAAAGACATGCTGAAAGTTGAATTTGTGTTTCTTGAAGGGTAGATCGACTTTCATGATAGTTAGGAGCTTTGTGGGAACATATCAAAGTGAAAAGAAAACTACATTAGAGTGTTGGACCCATAACTAGGTGCTGTGCACCATTTAGTTGAGACTAGAAGGCAGTGTCCAGAGAAAACTCGCACTGGAGAGCGCGAAAACGGCGAAAAATGGCTCTAAAGTAGGAGGGAGGCAGAAAGTGGGTGGGGTCCTCCCCATTGTGAAATCACGCTCCCACTTACCGGAGCTATCTTCTCAGTTTCAATTTCAAGTCAGTCGTTCGCACCCGGCTGGTGGCGATATCAGGGCGGCTAGCGGAATTAAAGGCAGTGTCCGGGCAAAAACTCGATTTTGAGATTTTGTGCTTACCCGGGCCTATTCGCTATGCTGAATCCGAAAATCCACATTGGAGAGCGCGAAACGTTGAAAAAGGGCTCTAATGCAGGAGGGAAATCAGAAGTGGGCGGGGTCTTCCCCACTGTAAATTCGCGCTCCCAGCTTCGGGGGCGATCTTTTTGATTCCGGTTTCAAGTCATTCGTTTGCACTTGATCAGTAGTGATGTCAGGGAGGCTAACGGATTCGAGAAAATTGCTCTGGAAGCTGGAAGCGTGAATTCACAGTGGGGAAGGCCCCGCCCACTTGCTGATTTCCCTCCAGTGTTAGAGCCCTTTTTCGTCGTTTTCGCGCTCTCCAATGTGGATTTTCGGATTCAGCATAGCGAATAGGCCCGGGTAAGCACAAAATCTCAAAATCGAGTTTTTGCCCGGACACTGCCTTTAAGAAGATCGCTCCGGAAGCTGGAGCGTGAATTCACAGCGAAGAAAGCCTCCCCCCCCCCCCTCCCACCGATTGATCCCCTCCTGCGCTAGAGCCTTTTTTCGCCGTTTTCGTTTTTTCCAGTGAGAATTTTCGGATTCAGCATAGCGAATAGGCCCGGGTAAGCACAAAATCTAAAAATCGACTTTCGACATTGCCTTCAAGGGATTGTAAATGATATCCGATGCTGAGGCTGAAGAAAGCAAGCACTTTCTTATGCAAGGCAAGAATGAAGAAGAATGAAGTGACTGTCTGTAGTGGAGGTCAGCTCTCGATAACATTCCATTTTCAAAAGTTTCACAGAGTAACGGTTGAAAAACTGGCTCTGATCTATGCCATCACGATGAAATAGCCACAAACCTGTTTGCTTTCTTTTTTATAGTAAACTTCACATCCAGCTATCCTTGAGAAGTAGTCAGATCGTTTGCAATCAGTGCGGATGATTCCATCCTAAAACAGCACTTTTTTCACGCAAATTACGAGATTGGACAACCTTGCCTTAATTCTGTCATAGGATTCTTTGATATCCGCGAGTGACAAGCTTTTTGTGCTGTCTGGATTGGAATGCGGATCACGATAAAGCTAAATCTTATGCATATGGTTTTGCTCCCTACAACATTATTTAGTGTAACACCCACATCGACGGCTGGCTTTGTTCTTGCGAATCGAAGAGGAATCACAACTGAAAATCGCGACTTCAATTTGGGAGTTCCATGACGTCAAGAATGGAAATGACAGAAGTTACTTCGTGCAGACACTCTCAGTCTTGACAACATATTCTGCCGCTACGTAGAGAGAATGAAAGTAAAGTGACCTTCTTGATACTGACTTACATATCATTCTTAGCGTGGTGATATAACACTTGAGATAAACATGTTTGTTGCAAATGGGTAAGCTGAAGCGCCGAGGGTGCCTTCTTCCTGCTTTGGAACAAGAACTCAAGAAGTATATGATGGACATATGGAGGGCAGAATCCAATTTGATGAAAATTCTTTGACTTTCTTGTCAATAAATATACACGGGCGACATCTTCGCCAAACCTTTTTTTATGAAAAGCTTGTAGCCTGGGCGATACGAGACTCTATAACCGTATAAAAGGCCTTATTAACACTGATTATCATACTCACTCATAGTGCAGCTACAGCGCAGTACAGGTTCTTCAGTCTCTATATCCCGATCTGGCAAGGCTGAAACGCGTTGATTATAAGGGTTCTATGACAAATATCTTACATCTAACACTAAGTTTTCTCTGTTACTACTTGACCCTGTCAGTTTATAAGAAGGAAATTTATTGTAGATTTCTTCCTCCCTCTAGTAAACCAACATTTGTATGAGCAGCTTGTTTTTATGCTTTCATTTCTTCACACCGGATGATACTCAGGATTGAAATCATTCCATGGGACCCCCATTTCAGTCTAAGCATATAGAACAATCTCATTCAACTATCCGCATTGGATTCCATTCTCGCTGGAATTGCCACAATAATCAACCATTACCTTTCACTATTAAGGAATCTCTTAAAATGCGTAATAAAGAGAATGCTTCTTTTTGAAGGGTTCTTCCATTTTCGAGCATCGTGTTTCACACCAATTTATGTGGTGCCTGTAAATTGTACTTATTTTGTTGGAGCAGTTAGAATGCGCATGTATTTATATAGATTGAACTTTGCTAGTAATATTGAGATCAAGAGGTTTTCTATAGGTAAACGTGAACATCAACATGATGTACTGTTTCCAAGGCACTCCGAGCACTGGAATGCGCTTTCGGTCTGTTTCCTGGGACCAAGTGATGCAAGTTGAGACCTAAATGAACAAATGAACGCCCTATAACCCTTATAACCCCTAGTCCATGTGAACTCTTGAAAGCAATAGCACAACCTTATTACTGTGGGAGCGAGCATCTCATCACTAGAATTGTTTTTGGCCTTGATAAACCAAAAGTAGCCTAGAAGAATTGATTTCTCTTATATTTCAACTCAACGAGCAGATAATCAGCGATCTCAGCTTCCTGATATTGTTGAAGCCCAGAAAGTTCGCCTTAGAACGCTAATCTCAAGAATCTGTATGGTATATAAGCAACAATTCTTTGGAAGTAAATGATGAGCAGAGTGATGAGCATTCCTCTTTGAGCTGGTGCTGATCTTATATATAAAGCTGAATGTCTGTTTGTTTGTCTGTCTGTCTGTCTGTATGTCTGTCTGTCTGTCTGTATGTGTGTACGTATGTTCCGAATAGAAAATTCCATTTCTGAACCGATCGGGACCAAACTTGGCACACATACACTTCGGGCCCCGGCGGGTGTCATAGGCTACTTTTCGTATCGATCGATATCGATTTTATCGATTTTTTGCAAAATTTGAGCTACGGGGCTGGGAGTTGGCACAGGGGGGTAAGTGAGCATGAGGATTCCGAATACAATATTAGTTTTTAAAATCGTGCATTACTTTTATCGATTTTTTTTGCAAAGTTTGAGCTACGGGGCTGGGATTTGGCACAGGGGGGTAATCGAGCATGCTGATCACCCCCGTGGGGGTGATCAGCATGCTCGATTACCCCCCTGTGCCAACTCCCAGCCCCGTAGCTCAAACTTTGCAAAAAATTGATAAAATCGACATCGATCGATAACGAAAAGTGGACTGAGACACCCGCCGGGGCCCGAAGGGTATGTGTGCCAAGTTTGGTCCGGATCGGTTAAGAAATGGAATTTTCTATTCGGAACATACGGCGGAGCCGGGTAAGCCAGCTAGTTATACATAAGATCAGAGAGCAGGATAAGGTTGTTGAAAAGCAAACTTGCAAAACAATTATTCTATTAGGTCGTGTAATAAGTTCTGTCCCATTTTTTCTTTCGATTTTTTCTCAATATTTTGCGCTATGTTCTGCAAATTGTTTATATGCATTTGAAAGCTCTAAGCCTTCTCTACTAAAACTTTCATCTCGGTTTTCTACATTAGATGACTTGAAAAAGTTTTACAGCGTCAAATCTGGAAAATCAAACAAGGAAAAAGTCCATTTTCGACAACTACATTACGTCGCCCTCCTAATCAGCCAGAATGCCTAGGAATAAGCTCAAAAATTTGTTACACGTAAGCAAAAAAGCTTGCTCTAGCTTCTATTGCGCTTCAGAAGTGCTGAAACTTTATAAAAAAACATTTTTGTAGATATTCTATACGTTCTCTGATCATGAAACCTGGGCATTGTTTGAATTCATGAGTTATGTTGTAAGCCACGCAGGTTTGTTAAGTTCTTTATTTCGGTCTAACGTTTCGGCAAAAATGCCTTCCTCAGAGACCTGAAAGAAAGCCTCGCAAATGTTTTTCAATCTGTATTGTCAAATCTCTCTTCTCAACTAGCTCAGTTCGATGCCCTAGGAGCAAACACGCTGAGACAATACATTGTAAGCAGCGTACCAAGATCTTCACCAATCAGGCAACAACAGATGTTTGAGATCCACTGGTGGTAATAGACTAGAACTGACCGATATGGACAGCTTAAGTAGTAGTGGATATGTTATCTATAAGTGACAATATGACAGAAATGGCATCAAGTCACTTGTGATGGAGAGCTGCTCATTCTTTCCGTTTAGATTCGGTTCGCGCGAAAGAATGTATGCCGCTTCAAGCGCTTTGCGAGCAGCAATTTTCGACTCGTGACCTAGGATGATGCACTTGATACTGAAGTCATTGCCGTGATGATCTATCTTTCTGTGTTTCCCTAGCGGACTTGACATGCTTTCCCGTCTTTTACTAGACAAGTGTTCATTGATTCGCACGCTGAGTTGACGACCAGTTTCCCCTATGTAGGTGGCGTGGCATTCTAGACATTCAATTTCGTAGATAACGCCAAACTTGGTACAGTCTCCCATCCTTCCGTAAGGACAAATGACGCAATCCCTCGTAATACAGGCTGTATCGTATAAACGATTACGCACTAGCTGTCGCTTGATGTTGCTTCGGGGGATGCTTACGAGAACAACATCTTGCTCCAGCTGAGCTTGTATTATGCAGTTCTGGAAAGCGTGCTTTACCTTATCGGAGATAAACGGTAGACATAATGGGATTCTGGTACGAGCTCGGCTATCATCATTATTTGCGGTGTTTTTGAAATGTCTAGACTTTGATGAGAAGTAGCCATTGAAAGCTGCTATCTCATTTGCCAGTTCGAGGGATTCTTGTCGTTCACTCTCCCCACTGCAGACTTCTCTTGCCGTTTTATACATGTTCCGCAGCACTGCTCGTTTTACGGCCATCGGATGGGCTGACTTCGCGTGTAAGACGATATTCTTGGAGCTCTCTTTGCGATACCATTTTACTCGCATCGTACCGTTACTTAACATTAGCTGGGTGTTCAAAAACGGAAGCCAACCGTTTCGGGGAGCTTCTCTAGTAAAACTTATGTACCGTGATTGTTGATTTAAAATCTTGAAACACTCGTCCATTTCGGACTGTGTTGATGTTATAATGCAACAATCATCAATATATCGGCAGTACATAAGTGGGCATCGTAACAGCACCGGTCTTTCTATTCTGCTCATAAAGCAGATGGCTAGCGTAGGTGCTAATCTTTGGCCCATTGCCAACCCTCTTAACTGTGAATAGTATGTACCAGACCACTTGAAGATATTACAGTTGAGACATTCCTTGATTAGAGTCATTATACGCGCTTTACTGAGCCCATACATCGAAATGGTATTACCATGTGCATCAAACAGCTCAGAGAGTGCTTGTAAAGCGTCACCGTTGGACACGTTCGTGTAGAGTGACGTTACATCGAATGACTCTATTGCACAGCTCTGGTCGAATTGAGCATGGTGCAGTCGATCAAGAAAATGTCTGGTATTCGTCAAATGGGCCGGTATTTTGTCGAGAAATTGGGTGACAATTTTACTCAAGGACCATGATATCCTATCGGTTGGTCCATTTATACAGCTAATGATCGGTCGAATCTTGTAGACCGAGGCCGATACGGAGCTCATGTCACGCTCAGAGAGCTTATGCGCTTCACAAGGCTGTAAAATACAGGACAGCATGGATTGTCAAGTTTAAGTCTGCTGAGAAACTTTTCGTTAAGGCCAGCTTCTTTACCAAGCATCACCCATACGTGATTTAAGCGCTTGCACTGAGAAAGAAATTCTTTCTCATTCGTGCGGCGATAAATGGTCTTGTCTGAAAGATGGCGCTCGGTAATCTCGCGATCCAGTTGTTGAGACATAACAACGAACTCTCCACCTTTATCGCTAGTAGAGAGGCGGATGATCCCTCTTTCAATCAATCCTTGCAATTCTCTGAATCCAAGCCACTGCGCATGGGTCAAATTAGTTTGTTTGATGTTCTTATTTTTGTTCAAGACATTAAGTATGCCTGAACAAAGAATCCGAAATTTGACGTCTGCGGTGTAGCAAGGTTCAGGTTCTTTGTAAAAGGATGACGGGAAGGGAATAGGCGGTAGCAACCTTCTACTTGATACGTTGGCTCGCTGTAACTGCTCTTCGGATCTCAACTTCACTCGAAGCTGGTCCCTCAGATGTTGCAGGGATCCAACCACAGCTCGGTATGTGCTCGCGCTGATGTTATGAGCGGGCGCAAAGCTAGGTCCAAGAGCTAGAAGCTCTGTAGCGCTTTTTGATATCCGAACATCTCCTAACACAGTAACTCTAGCCTTTCTATCATTGTCAGTTTCATTCTGAGTCGCAAGCGATTGGGATCGGTTATGAGGTATGCCACCGCAAGTATTAGGACTCAGACTAGGTTTACTCACAAGTTCCTCGAACTTCTTGCATAGTGAAGATTTGAGGTT